CTTCCAGTCAGCAGGGACCTCCCCAGACTCCACAGACCTTTCGTAGATGATCGAGAGGGGTCCTGCCATGACATCTGCTAGCTCCTTCAGTACCCTGGGATGAATCCCATCAGGCCCCACGGACCTGCGAACATTCAGCTGACAAAGCTCGTCCCTTACAATTTCAGTGTCTGCAAGTGGAAAGTCACTGTTCCCGCACTTGTTGTCCTCTGACTCAGGGGACTGGGCAGCCCAAGGTCTGTCAGTTTCATTAAAGATTAAGGTAAAAAAAGGGTTGAGCACCTCCCCTTTTTATTCATCCCTGTTAGTCAGGTGACCATCTTCAGCATACTTAGATTTCTCATCAGTTCTGAAAAAATTAGCAGCTGTGTACAGGAGAGAGGAAACAAAGTCAGCACTTCTATTGAGTGCGAACTCTACAGTTTGCCATTTATACGGTCTCCTGGCTAGCAGTCAGCATGCACATACTGGCTAAGCTACTGGCACGTGGAAAGCTAGTAACCGGCTGCAGTATGCGCTGTTGCTTGCCTTGCTTAAAATGGAGGGATGTGAAAAATAATTACAGGAAACACAGAAGGGCAGAATGGCCACAGAGCAAGTACTGAACTGATAATGTAAGAGAGGATGGGTGGAGTTGTAAAAACGTGGAAGACCGGGGATTGTTGCTGCTGAGTGGCAGCAGAAATATGGGACACATTCACAGAAATCACATTACATTAGGTCCAGTGTTCACTTGTTTTTTTTCTTTGTCAAAGAAGTTTATTCTCAGTCTTGGTTGTCATGTTTGAAGAAGTAGATATTGTTGTTCATAAATGATTCATTCCTAACTATTATGTTTAGAGTGTACCCAACATGGTAACTCTGGATGACTAAAAAAACTTCTGTTGGAGATGGAAGCAGGCTAGGCTACCATCATCTAAGATTTTTGGGGGCTTTTTTTGCAAGAACTGACTGTCTTTATTATTGGAACAGAGTATACTTCTGCTGACACGAGTGTCGAACTATGTAAAGTGACGGCTAGTTGAAATATTCTACATGAAGTTGGCAATGAGAGATTTCCCTGAGGAATGACTAATCATATTAATAAAAATCAATATTCAATCTTTCTAAGAACAGTAGTTGAAAACGGGTGAAAGTTCCTCACTGTAGACAATGTGCAACACGTCTTCTCCAGCCTTGTTTCTGTGTGGTGCAGTCTGTGCTCTGTCTTGACCCCAAACGCTGCGTCCTTCTCCTCCTGCTTTCTGCGTGCTCAGCAGACAGCACAGTCCTGCTCGCGGTGAGGCCATTATTTCTCTTCTTCTCCCTTGCTCTGCCCCTCTTTGTTTCCTCTGTGAAGGCTGTTGTGTCTTTCTGCTTATAGAACCATAGAATCATAGAATGGTTTGGGTTGCAAGGGATCTGCCATGAGCAGGGACATCTTCCACTAGACCAGGTTGCTCAGAGCTCCATCTGACCTGGCCTTGAACACTGCCAGGGAGGGGGAAG